TTTTATGTGAATGTGATGCATACTTTTCAAGTTATGAATAATGTGGAAAAACTATATTTCTCTGGCTGTTATAATTACATTACCCATTGTGTAAGGTAATTGTTTCACAGGCAGAGGGGAGGATTTTGTGTGGGAGTGTCTGAGTGTATTGTACGTGTTTATTGGTTGTTTTCCAAAACCCTGTGGGTGGTACTAATGTATATATAAGAACAATAAACCCACAGCTCTGTCTGTTTCTGCTTGACCCTCAAAACTGAGCCTTGTCTCGTTCTCGGAGGGATTTATTGTATGCTGTTCCAGTTTAACTGCTAGGAGTGTAAACCTATTCGTATGGTTTTTCCTATTCGGCTGTTTACAGTATTCGTATGTTTACGGCATTCATATGGTTTCCTGTTCGGCCGATTGGTGTTCTGCAGTAGCTGTGCCTGTGTCTCTGGAAGGGGAAGATCTACTAAACGGCGGTTTAACCCTTTTATGCCCGGGGTGCCATTACAACCTTTATCAATTTTGTAGCTCGTCTCTGTGCTTCTTCTAGTGCCATGATATCCTTCTTTAGAACAGGTGCCCAAAATTGCACAGCATATTCAAGGTGTGGTCTTAACAGCGATTTATGAAGAGGCAAAATTATATTTTCATCCCAAGAATTTATGCCCCTCTTTATACAGGACAAAACTTTACAGGTCTTACCAACTGCAGATTGACATTGCATATTGCTGTCTAATTTGTTGTCTATAACAATTCCCAAATCCTTCTCATGTGTGGTTATCCCTAATTCACTACCATTTAGGGTGTAAGTTGCTTGTGCATTCTTGACCCCGAAGTGCATAACTTTGCATTTCTCTACATTCAGTTTCATCTGCCATTTTAGTTCCCAGTTCCCCAATCTATCTAAATCCCTCTGCAGCAAAGCAATACCCTGCTCACATTTTATTACTTTGAATAGTTTTGTGTCATCTGCAAATACTAAAACACGACTTTCAATGCCTATTTCAAAATCATTTCTAAATATGTTAAATAGAAACGGTCCCAAAACAGAACCCTGAGTGGCACCACTTACCACTTTTGTCCAGCTTGAAAATTTACCATTAATGACAACTCATTGTACTCTATCTTTAAGCCAATGTTCTATCCAAGAACATTCATCTAGACCAATTTATTTTAGTTTGAAGACTAAGCTATTGTGAGGAACCTTATCAAATGACTTGGCAAACTCCAAGTAGATCACATCCACTGCAACACACTGATCTATAGTACTACTAACTTGTAGAATGCAATTAGGTTAGTTTAACATGACCTATGTTTAATAAAACCATGCTGATTATTGCTAATAGCAAAGTTCTTCCCAATGAATTCCTGAATATTATTCCTTAATAGTCCTTGAAATATTTTCCCAGTCACAGAAGTTAAGCTCACAGGTCTATAATTTCCAGGCAAGGATTTTGAACCCTTTTTAAATATAGGAACAACATCTGCCTTCCTCCAATCCTCCGATACAATACCTGAAAGAAAAGACTCTTGAAAGATTAAATACCAATTTTTTTTCCTCTGTTTAGTCTATATGTAGTCTCAGTTGTCAATATTGTGGCCTCCATAAAATGCCCTTTCTTTACACATTTTATTTCCTCACCATATGTTGTTGTTTTTTTTTTTTTTTTTTTGAGGAAAATTATCAACATGTGTGTAACTAACTAGTAACAAGGTTGAACCAGCACTTGTTTTGGATGTTGTGTTTAAGTATAATTCAGCAGTTGGCTAGAAATGCTCCATACACATTCTTCCTATTAACTGAGCCTGTAGAATGTTATAATTTTTGAACAAGTAGACAGGGATCAATATATACCTAGAATACATAAAGAAACTACATTGCATCCAGGATTCTTTCACAAAAAAATAGTTGATGTGTGTGGCATCTTGAGTGGATGTAATATATTAAAGATCCAATGAATCTTCTTCTTGCTTATAACAACGATTGGGATTAAAGAATGTCCAAGTCCCTGCCATTAATGGGAAATAATTTTAAAAGTCTGGGAATTAGTTTTAAAAGTCTAGGCTACTATTTTATATCAGATTTAGAAATGACTTTATTTGGTATGGATTCCGCTGATTTGTTTGTAAAATAGATTTGTGAGGAACTCATGAATACATGTAATATGACATCATGTGTATCAAAGTTACTGAGAACTGCAAACTGATAAGATTAAAAGAAAAAGTCTGTGTGATACATCGACCACCCAGACCAAAATCAATTTTAAATTATATCCTTTGGAAGAGCTATAAAGAGAATTGCAAGGAAGCATATTTCTTAACCCCCACAATGGTGAAGTCAAAGATTTGCAACTTTCACACCAGAACATAATGCCTCTGTAGTCTTATCATAATAGCCCCCTTGGCATTTGACTATTATTATTACACCAGCTTTGGAACTGCAACAAAGGAAGATAGACAGTTTCCCACCCCCATAATCAAACTTTTCCTATTCACAGACACTAGACCATGTACTGATGTCCAAACAAACTGAAGCACTTAGGAACAGTTCATGAAACTTCAAGGGATATAAAGCACTACACAGCATTACAATCTCTATTTCCCCATTGTATATGACATGTTAATATGTTTGCTTTAATTTAACAAAGCTACGTAATCTGAAACTGGATTTTGCTTTCTGCATTCCCTGCACACAACTAGTTAAATGTATATGTAAACCTAACCATAAGAGCAACAAAGAAATTGGAGTTTATTCACATACTGAGAATTGCGGAGGATTGAAAATGGAACTACACGTTAGGAGATCAATAGGTGAAATGGAGAATTATTCTCCTAAAGTTTGGATATTTCTTGTTAACATTTCTCAATGTTTCTATGACATTATGCTAGGTACCATGGATCCATTTACTAAGCTAGAATCAAATAGGTCAATAGACACATATAATTAATGTCATTCCAATTGAGTTTCATCTTTATTCAGGAAATTTAGAAGAGTATGAATTAGCAAAACAAACCAAAAATGAATGAATGCAGTGTGAATTGAAACCATTAGGTTTGATGAGGATAGCTAATTAGGGACTAAAAAAAAATAAAACAGCCAAATGTAAAAAAAAGGGCTTTTTATTAATTTTGCTATTTCAGCTGTTTAGTAGATAGCTCCCTAATTTTGTATCCTTACCTGGGATTGCCATAAATTTGCCACCAAATTAAATATGTATCTACTAAGCAACTGATTATAATGAAAATACATTTTATTAATGTTGGTCTGTTTAGAAGATAACACCCTAGTTTGTCACCCTTATGCAGGATTGTCATTTTTAGTGCACCAAATGTTAAGTAGATAGCTCCAATAATTTGTAATCTTTATGTGGGATTATCATATTTAAGGATAACATATTGAGAAGCTCCCGAATTTGGTACCCTTATGTTGGATTGCCCAATTTAAAGATACTAAATTAAGGACCTATCCAGTAAACACAGCAGCTCTAATTTGGTAACCTTATGTGGGATTGCCATATTTACAGATATTACATTAGGATGCTGTGTAGCACATAGCTCCTTAATTTGATACCCCTTTTGGTGCTTACCATTTTAAGGGTAATGTATTAGGGAGTTGTTTCATGGTTTCACCCTGCCTGACTGAGTGTTACAGTGTGAGTAAACCAGCTACCTCCACAGTTGCAGTTGATTTTAGTTGACAGGGCACTGTTTTGTTCCACACTGAAGGGTGGTCAATGACACTATAGACTGGATAAAATACAGTTAAAGCAACAGCACACACATAAAAACAAAAAACAGTACATTTTTCAAGGCTACTTAAAATCACCTGTTTTAACAAACAAACATGGGGATTTGGTCACACCATATGGCCATACTGTTTTAATCCCACCATTAAGCACCACTACATGGAAATGCATGTTCTTGGTGTGCCCCAATTCCTATTTTTTTTCACTACAGACTGACTGGATGTGTTTGAAAGCTTTGTTCTTCTCAGGTTGGAAGAGGTGAGCAGGTCTTCAATTGCCCCCCGACTTTTTCTTTTCATTTCTTTTAAAAATTCATTTTTAAAATGAAAACGAATACTACTGCTGTTGATCACCTTTGTGACAGGATGGCCAGGCTCTTCACAATAAACTTTAAATGCAACAGTCAGGATAAAATAGTACTGCAGTTTATTGTCACTTTCCACAATATATACAAGGTTGTGCTCTCCCACAAAATAAAACAAAAAGAAAATAAATCCTACTCCAACTTGGAGACTTACTAAACTCCAGTGTTACTAACTATTCAACCGGCCAGCTAATCTGGTTCCCAGTTTTTAACACAATGAAATACAGCACTTTAAGCAGGTTTCACACAGTACCTTTGTCTCAGAGTTAACTGTCTCCCAGCTGTTAGACTCTCTGATGTCTTCAGAGGCTAACCTTTTAAAATCCTAGTGCTGGTTAATTACATTCACCTGGTTGATAACATTCAAGGGGTAACTCCCACCAATTAACCCCATCATGCTGGGAATAGAGAGCGCTCCAATCTATTACTAACATAAAAAGCCTCTCTGACCCTGCCACACCTTTTTATTTAATAGAAGATTAATAGAAGCAAAATCAATTAATATAAAATGTATCATTATAAAAGTTCTCTCACTACTTTTTTTTAAATACAGATATAATAATATCATTTTGACAACTCACAACTGGCATTGCAAAAATGGCTGATATTCCCTAGCCATTAGGCAATAGGAGACATTTTCCAATCCTTTTTCCCTCTGAATAGTTTACCCAAACATTTGTATGAACAAAATAAATCCAAAATTACTAATGTACAACTTTCGACCATCCTTATTTTTTCTAGCTAAATCAATTTGGATGAGCCAAACATTTTGGTCATGCACAAGTCTAATAGGAAATATTTTTCAAAAGATTTGTAAAAATGATTTTGTCAGTGGCATCTGAACCACTCTAACTAATATGGAATAGTGTTAAGTAAGTGAGTAGAATCTTGTTTTAGCAGTGTGGCTAACAGCTTAGGGACCAGCACTAGCGCCACTGCTGGGTGGATTAGGCGGCCACTTAGGCCGCTCGGTGCCAGATGGCACAATGCCCAGCTAACCGGCAGGAGGGGAGTGCACTGTACAACGCTTCCCTCCTATCAGTCTAAGCATGTAGCATGGCTGAGCCACAGACCGGGGGAGAGAAGCTTGTTTCCCTCTTCCCGGTCTGACACTGAGGGCACCGAACTGCTTCCTGTCTGGATGGAGGTAAGTTAGATCAGGGGAGGGTTGGGGGGGGCAGGATTACAGAGCCACATGCAGGGCTGGGGGGGGGGATTTACTGACACACATGCAGGACTTGTGGTGGGATTTCACTGAGACACTTACAGGGATGGGGGTCATTCTTAAGACACATGGAGGGATAGGGGGGCATTACTGAGACACATGGAGGGCTGGTGGGAATTACTGAGACACATGGAGGGCTGGGGGGTTACTGAGACTCATGGAGGGAGTTGGGGTTACAAACACATAAGCAGTGCTGGGGGCAGTGATGTTTTAGCTGCGAGGCAAACAAGGCATTTGGCTTGGGCGGCATTTTCCAAGGGGCGCCAAAAAGAGCCGCTCCCAAATGCCCAGGGCAAATGTCTTGTTAGCCTTGCAGCTAACTGACAAGCCAGGTGGGCGGCTATGTAAAAATCCATGCGGGCGGCGCTGGGAGCCGGAATATGACGTCATATTTCGACTTCCAGCATCACTCTGCGAGTGGAGTGCGAGAGAGCTGAGCAGAGAGCTCAGGGAAAAGTGCTCCCTCACCAGCGCCACCCGCCTGACTGCCCAGCAGCCACTGGACCCCCAGGGAGAGGAAGAACCCTGCTAGCATTCCCAAAGGGTTACATTTTTAAAATAAAAAGTGAGTGTGTTAATGTTTGCGCGTGTGTGTGTGTTAGTGAGTGAGTGTATCTGTTAGTGTGTGAGTGTGTCTGTTTGTGTGTGTGTGTCTGTTAGTGTGTGGGACTGTTAGTGTGTGTGTGTGTATTAGTGAGTGAGTGTGTCTGTTTGTGTGTGTGTGTGTGTCTGTTAGTTAGTGTGTATGTGTCTGTTAGTGTGTGTGTGTGTCTGTTAGTGTGTGTGTGTCTGTTAGTGTGTGTCTGTTTTAGTGTGTTTCTGTTATTGTGTATGTGTGTGTGTGTGTGTTTGTTAGCGTGTATGTGTGTGTCTGTTAGTGTGTGTGTCTGTTAGTGATTGTGTGTGTGTGTGTCTGTTAGTGAGTGTATGTCAGGGCGTGTGTCTGTTAGGGAGTGTGTTACTATGTGTGTGTCTGTTAGTTTGTGTGTGTCTGTTAGTGACAGTGTATGCATCTGTTAGTGAATGTGTGTGTCTACTAGTGACTGTATGTGTCTGTTAGTGAGTATGTATGTCTGTTAGCTAGTGTATGCGTGTCTGTCAGTGAATGTGTGTGTGTGTATTTAGAAGGCGGGGAAGGGAGGAGGTGGGGGTGGTGCGAGGGGGGGGGGGCTGGGTTTTGGCATGCCTAGGGCAGCACAAAACCAGGATACACCACTGGCTGGGAGTACAGACACACATGCAGTGAGGGGGAGATTACTGACACACATGTAGGGCTGGGGGTTACTGAGACACATGCAGAGTTGGAGGGGATTACTGAGACAAATACATGGCTGGGGGGCATTACTGAGACACATGGAGAGATGGAGGGTTACTGAGACACATGGAGGGTTGAGGGCTGCTGACATAGATGGAAGGCTAGGGAGGTACTGAGACCCATGGAGGGCTGTGGTTACTAAGACACACAGAGAGGCTGGGGGATTAATGTGACCCATGAAGGGGCTGGGGGAGGTTAATTAAAACATGAAGAAGCACACAGAAGGCTGGGGGGGCAAAGAGGCAAACAGAGGCTGTGGGGAGGCACACAGAGGGCTGGGGGGGACAAAAAGGCACACAGACGGCTGGGTGGACAAAGAGAGACATAGAATGGCTGCAGGATGTAGACAGACATAGAAATGGTCTGGGGTGAGAAAGAGACCCACAAAGGGATTGGATGACAAGAGACACAGATAGGTGCTAGATGGGCAAAAAGACACAGAGAGGGGCTGTGGAGGACAAAGAGACACAGTGAGACTGGGGCAGACAAAGAGATGCATAGCAATTCCTAAACCTTTAATACAATATTTTTGTTCAACCTCTTGAATTAAAGCTGAAAGTCTACACTTCAATCGCATTTTAAATTCATTGTGCACAGAGCCAAAATTATGAAAATTGTGTCAGTGTCCAAATATTTCCAGACCCAACTGTATGTTTAACTGGAGTGCCCCTTACTGTTGCACATAACTATAAAATATTTTATTTAGTTTAATTATCAATGTAAAAATTGTTCAATATGTCCATTCTTTGCTATGTATAAGCAGTGATGCTATTTCTTGTAGTAAAATAGACAGCAATTGTGCTTACCAATTAATGTAAAATGTGGCTTTAACAAGTTTTTTTTTTTTTCACACCAACAAATAAATATATTTAAGTAGCACAGGAGGAAAAAAATATAATTTACCTTACAAATATTTTTGGGCATTAAGAATTAAATCATATTTGCTATAAAAAAAAAAAAATTCTTTAGGGACATGATTACACACATCATTTTACAGCTTGTGTATTTCTTTAGTTCATGTAGGAAAAAAATTAAGTGCAAGAAAAATTATCTTTCCCACACCAACTCAGTCCTCACAGGGACATATTTTAGTTACTAAAAAGGTTTATTTCCTGTCCCATTCTGTCTACATAGCATTCCACTAGCAAAATATATGTGTAGGAGTAGGATGTTAAACACAGTTTAAGGTCAGTTGAACCATGCTGGATTTGCCATTATTATTACACACATATTTTTTTGTATTTCACTTTAACTAATAAAAGTTATTAACTAATAAGAGAATTTAAGGTGAATGCAAACAGGCAGGGGAGGGCTGGCAGCCTTAGGCCTGGGGGGCAAAACCAGTCAAGTGGCCCATTGCACCACCAAATCAGTTCACCATCCACGCCCACCTTTTCCTGGTTTTAGAACATATATTGATGCTATGCTAATACCCGCTCTTTCATGGCTCTGACTTTCAATGTTGTCAGAGCGCAGGCTGAGAATCTCTGAGCCTGTGCTCTGACTCACTAACTGAGTGCCAGAACCACGAGGGAGAGGATATAATCTGACTGCACCTACTGCTGGTGTGCACCAGTGGACCACCAGCGAATCGTTTAAATTGAATATGCTGGTGTCCCCAACTTGTGAGCTGTGTTGTCCACCGGGCGCCTCTGTTGTCATGTCACCCTGCGTGACCGCACTGCTTGCACACCCCAACGGCTGGCCTTGCTGACACACACTGATGTTACTACTTAGAAATCCCTCAATATTAATACAGACATCAGAGTAAACACCAATAAACTGTGGAAACAGAGCTGATCCCCCCCAAATGTATAAAGATTTGCTTGCTGGCTTTGCTGTAATATTAAATCATGCCTCCTCCTCTCTCTCCCCCATGTGCTGCTCTGTAGGCTGGGAGGAAGTGAAGAGTAATCACATTCTCCCAGCACAGCGCCACCTGTGGCTGCATTGGGAACAGCTGGTTAATGTAATGCTTGCAGAACGGCCAGCTGCCGCAGAACCTCTTTGTTCCCGTCTCTGCAAAGAGCTCCAGGCACTGCTTGCTGTGAGTGTGAGCCACTGTAAATTAGGGGAAAAGGGCACTTGCACTGCAGTAAAGACGGGTCTGGGCAGGAGGAGAGTGCAGTGCAATCAGTGCACTCCCCTCCTGTGGGTCACCAGTAGACTGATGCACCTGCCCAAGATCAGAGCCGGTGCAAGGTTTTTTGCTGCCCTAGGCAAAATAAAAATTTGCCGGCCCCCATGTGACATCACAATGCCCCACCCATATGATCTGCCATATGAACTAACGCCAGTGCTGCACACAGTGTGTGTTTACATTAAAAAACCTGCAGGGACCGGCTATAGACACCAGAACCACTTAATTAAGCTGAAGTGGTTCTGGGGACTATAATGTCCCTTTAATGTGAGGTAAATTATAGATTAGTGTCACTAATATCATACTAGATTGCCTACTTACAACCAGATGAGGATGATGATGGGCTGCAGTTTGGCTCCACTGGTCTGGTGTAGAACAGGATCTCTGGAGGCTGTTTGCAACTGTGGTCACAAAATTCAATGTTCTGGGAGAATTGGAAGCAGCTCCATTTTTTCGGGGCCCCTTACACAGCTCAAGGTCTGAGCCCCAGGGCCTGATGGTGAGTATGCCCATAAGGCCCACTCATAAGTCCACTTATATGTTCCACCCAACCATGAGTTCGCTCACAGGGAGTGGAGTGTGTAGGGGATGTGTTAAAGTAGAGGATATAATATGTGTGCTTATGGTATGTAGTGTATAGGGATACCAGTTTGTGTAGGTGATGCAGTGTGTTTGTGTGTAGTGGAAGCAGTGTGTATTTGTGTATAAGGGATGCAAGGTGTGTGTCTGTATGTGCATGCATTGAGTGTGTGTAAGAGATGCATTGTGTTTCTGTGTGTATGTAAGAAAAGCAGTGTGTGTGTTTGCATGTGTGTGTAAGGGTTTGCATTGTGTGTTTCTGTGTATGTGTGCAAAGGATGCATTGTCTTTGTGTGTAAGGGTTGCATTGTGTGTGTGTAATGGATGCATTGTCCGTTTCTCTGTGTGTAAGGGAAGCATGTTGTGTTTCTGTGTGTGTAGGGATGCATTGTGTGTTTCTGTGTATGTCTAGGGATGCATTGTGTGTGCGTGTGCGCGTAGTGTGAAAGAGCTCCCTGTATTGCCCCCAGTCCTATAGAGCTGTCCGTTCTGTCCTTAGAGCTCTACCCCTCCCTCCCCTAGCGGTCTCTTCTCATCCCACCCCCCTGTGTTCTTCTCACCTCCCCCTACCTGTGTTCTTCTCACCTCCCCCCTCCCTGTGTTCTTCTCACCTCTCCCTTCCTGTTTTCTCATCTCCCCTTCTCCTCACCCCCTCCCTGTGTTCTTCTTACCCCCTCTCCTCCCTGTGTTCTCCTCA